TGTTGGTTTCTGTCTAACACCAATATAGTGGTGACATATTCAAGGATCCATTTTCAAGAAGCCAAGCCATACATTCAAATCATTGTTTAAAATAATACATCTCAAAGAATAGTACACCGTTGTAGTTCCTACACATATTACATTGATATGTGCTCAACTTAACAACAATAAACCATGAATCAAGTGACACATCTTCATTGGCAAATTTTTGCAATAAGGGCCTGCAATCATAAATTTTACCAATGTATAAAAGATATTAAGAACATGTTATATTAAAAAATTCTTAAGAAAAAAACTTTGTAAAGCACACAAAACAACCTAGTGCTTGGACTTCTTTATATCTCAATTTCACTTATATCTTTTTAAAAATTTAGAACTTGGAAAAAAATTATACACATAAGTTTTAGTGCTTTAACTCAAATTGATTTCTTTGGAAGCACACAAAACAACCTAGTGCTCATCTAAGCACGTAGGAAAATGTCGGGTAGATTCGTAAAGCATCAACCTTTTATTACACTCTAATAAACTCATAAGAAGTAAATCAAGCTCGACAGAAAACAGATTATAATTACTTGTTGATTGAGATGAATGTAACCAAATCATTATAGACAGCATAAATCTACCTAGTAGCAGGCCGAAAGTCTTTATTCCCTTCTGATATGAATTTTTAGTACTTTGGTTTAGGGTACTTATCATTTATATAGAAGAAAAACAGTTAATATATGATAAAATTTCAGTTGAAAAGACAAATTCTCATCCCTATGAATTACTTTTGAGAATGAACTGGCCAAGATTTCATACTACAAACTCAAGCTGTGTTCGGGTCCTTGGAAATGTCCGCAATTGAGGAGGTTGCCTCTCGAAGCATATGCTTGGCCATGCCTCTGCCTAATGTATCCATCCCCAAGAGTACACAATAAAGATTTCAACTTTTTTGTTATTCCTCACAAAATTATCCCAATATCAATAATTTATCCTAGTAAACTAATCCATAAGCCATAAAATTCAATAACTATTTTAAGCCTATATATACCAACGTGCCCAACAAACCAAAATGTCATACTAGAATACCGATCACTTTATTCTCCAAAAGCCACATAGAAAATCAAATTCAAATAAAACCCAAATCAATTTAAAGTTTCTCACAAAAACATGTATGACGCATGCAAGATTATTACCAACAATTGCCAAAAATTAAAATGCACCAAAAAAAGAATAAAAAAATAGAATTTTTTGAACAACCCATTTGGCGACCTAAATGGTCTATACAAGTCCATTGCTTAACTTTTTTGTTTTTTCCAGATTCCTTCGCAGTTAATTACTCAATCCCTTGATAAAAAAAACTACTTAATCCACAAACAATAGTGCTATATATATATATATATATTCTAATAACATTATTTATGTGATTAGACAAATTCGGCAATTCCAACTCAATTACGGTTAGATATTGGGTTTGGATGAAGGACCTCTTGGAGGAGTCTTTACCACCCAAAAGGATGTGTCGACATGTCCCTCTCCTAAGCACCTATTGATTGTCTATATAAACTCTAAGGCAACCAATAGATATGACTGATTATTCCTAACATTAAAGTTCTCCCATTCTGCTTCTCTCTCTATATATAACGTTGAAAGGTTTTTGTGCGGTGAAAATTTGGTATTAATTCTTGCTGTGCAACAACACTATATCGCTCAAGCAAACAAAGGAAAAATGGTGATTTTGGATTTCTAAAGAACGTAGAATATTTTCCAACAATTTCAAGATCAAAAAGAATAAGGTATGTTTATGATCCTAAACTTTTGCAATATGTGTATGATTTCTCAACAATTACAAACAGAGTTGAAGTATAACCATGTGTCAAATTCTATAAGCAATTTTCCACTTACTCATTGTATCTAATGGTTACATAGCCAACCGCCATGACTAATATCTAATAACAGCCAACCACCACTACTAAATGCTACCAAATAAACATGAGATTGTTTCTTTATTATTTGTATAGCAGACAACTCTACAATGGACATAGGTAAGACTATTGCACCGAGTTTAGTATTGCGATGAAACTTACTACAACATTAGACTGAAAATACAACTCATTGTAGTGAATTACGGTTTAATTCGAGTCAAATTACAATACGAAGATATTAAATTACCACTAAATTAACAATGGTAAAATCTATCTCAAACGACCATCTAACCTAAATATAAAAAATTCAAACGATTCTTACTTAGCACACGAAATTTGACCCCATAAAAGCAAAATTCTAGCTCGCTTCAATATCTAATATACAATTTGCCTATGCCAATCTGAAAATGATGTAATTAATAAATTATCGAAGTGCATTAGAATATCTTATGCCATTAATTGCATTGATAGGGTTAGAATTGAACAATACAAATTGCGAATACAAAATTAGATTATTTAAATGCGGCGTAATACAATTCGATTGACACCGTAATATTTTAGTCCAAAATCATTTTAAGTGCCTTGAACTTGTGACTAAACCAAGCAATTAAAAAATATTGTCATAAATAAAATGTATATATCTATCTAATATTACAATTAAAAAGTTGAATTTTCAACTTATAAAAGCATAACAAAATTGATTTAAATTTTATCTACTTTGATTAAATGGTATAAAATTAATCCCAATCCTTTTTCCTGCTAAAAAATAACATATTCTTTACAGGACCCTTAATACCAGATAATTCAATTAACACATTCTCCAATGCAAGACACTCCACTAATCTTTACATACATCTCTCTTTATTTTTTTTTCTTTTTTTTTTTTTAATTTTAAACTACATAATTAAAAAAAAAATTATTATTTAAAATATAAATACTGTATGATCAATACTCAATTTCTTATATTACTCGTATGTATATATACATTTATAAATTTAAATCCTGATACTTTCTACACACAAAATTTAGAACATATAAAAGATTCAAAAAAGAGTTGGCAAATGGCATTTGGACCTCATGCACACATGCATCACTCTCCATCACAAGATTGGACGGTCCAGATTTGTCCCCACATTTACCAAATGTCCCCACTTGTGTGATCCAAACAAAAAAACGACACCTTTGCTATTTAATTTAATTCCACCAAAACGCTTTTATTGCCGCAACACAAAATACTACAAACATAAAAATACGAAAAGAAAAAATACAAAATAAACTCTGCCACCGTTCACTTCTGAAAGTACAATCCTCTGAACTCTCGATATCTCCGCCAAACCCATTTGCTATTTAACACACCTCTTCTTTGGGTTTTTGGGTTCTCCATCAGCTCCTCTGATCTCTGCGAAACCCAAATTTTAAGCTCAGTCGTTGAGTTCTTGTAAAGCTGACCATTTGAATTTGGTTTTGTTTTCAGAAACTTGCTTTCTGAAATCACCATTTGAAGGTATGTTTCTTTTTCAACCATTTCATGTTTCTCGAAATTTTACTTGTTTTTGCTTCTTCATCATTTCTAGCATTTCAATTTTGTTTTTGTTTTCTTATGGTATCTGAATTTGGATTTCTTTGGCTTTGAGCTGTGAATTTTCTTGTTTTTTGATTGTATGTTGCTTTTTAGGTGCTTCCATTGGTAGTTAGGGATTGAATTCGATTCTACTTTCACTCGGTCCATTTTGAAACACTGATTGCCTGCATGCATCTGTTGTGTAGTTAAAGTTGACAAACATTGTGTCATCACATTAGTAGTGGGTCTTGACAAAGGATCTCTTAGTGATTGTTATGAATGGAATCTATATATATTTATCATATGTTTTTCTTAGTGGGTTTTGATGCTTTCATTTATATGCAAGTCAGAGCGTTTTAAATTTTGATTTTTGGTAATGGTTTCTCTGTGTTCTATGATCATCATTACCATGTTGACGCACTTCTATTAACATCGTGTTTTCTACATCCATGCTTATCTTGAATAACATGTGGCCGGGGATGTCGAATTTTACCTTCCACATAGACTCAATTCCGCAACATGAAAACTTTAAAATTCTGGAATGAGAGTGTTTATGTTCGTGTATGCACTTGGGCTTTTTTTTTTTTTTTTGGGGGGGGCGGGGGGTAGCACGCATTATGTGTGTTCAACTATTCATTTTATTCTTTTTCCCTGTGTGGGTGGTTATGCCACAGTTTCTCATGCAGTTTCTTCTTTGTGTTCTTACAATATGGCCAAGTGGCAACAAATTAGGAAGGAGTTAGTAGCTTCTGTTGTGCCTTTGATTTTCACTTCTGTCTTTTTTATTTTGGGGGTTGGGGGTGGGCTCATGTAGCGGAGTACATTATGCATGTATTCTGTGCATTGGGTGCAAGTGCCTAATATAATATAGCCTTATATGTGAATTCAAGGGGTTTCGCCAATCTTTCTTATTGCGACATGAAACAGGGTTTTAAATCTATTGTTATTTTTGCAAGTCCACCTACAATATTGTGATGTGTTTGTAACTGTCTTTATCAGAAAGCATGGTGTGTTATTTGCTAAAAAATGATTTGCTATGTGGAGATGCCTGTGGTAGTTGACTTTGGAAAGTGGTGGCTGGGAAGTGACTTTTGTACTTCCTGGTAGCTGATTCTTTATTTTTTGTTTCTAAAGAAAAATCTCAGAACAATTACCATTTTGAAATTTTATCTGATGCTTGACCTTTAATTAGTCTTGATAGAGTTGTTGCTGATTTGAAAATCTGAAAGGCATCCTCATATTTGAGCCATTACTTCAAGTGACCTTTATCTTTGGTCTGTCCTAGTCAATTTCTTACTAGGTACTGTATATTTATTGGTAATCTTGTATATGCATTAGCACTATCTGTGAATTTCATTTTTCTGCTGGTTTCAGTTGGACCTGACTTTGGTCTTAGGACATGCATTTTCTGTGGGACCTTTTGCTTTTGCTGTTAAACAGATTACAGATTTTGTGAAAATATATATTATTATGTGATAAGGATTGGAATTGATTGATTCTGTTGGTCACTCCAGGCCTATAATCCCTGGAAGATGGGTGCATATATTGTTGGTGTGCTTGTGCCTCTTATATTTACTCTCTTATTTCGGAATTCCAAAAATGGAAAAAAACGGGGGTTGCCAGTTGATGTTGGTGGACAACCTGGGTATGCAATCCGAAACTATCGGTTTACTTCTCCAGTAGAAACAGCATGGGAAGGTATCACAACACTCGCAGAACTCTTTGAGCAGTCATGCAAGCTGCACAGAGACAAGAGACTACTTGGAACTCGGAGATTGATTTCGAGGGAGACAGAAATATCTGGAGATGGAAGGTCCTTTGAGAAGGTTCATTTGGGTGATTATGAGTGGTTAAGCTATGGAAAAGTGTTTGAAGCTGTGTGCAATTTTGCATCTGGCTTAGCAAAACTTGGGCACCAAAAGGAAGAACGTGTAGCAATTTTTGCTGACACAAGAGAAGAATGGTTTATTGCACTGCAGGTGCTTTTCTTCCAAGTCCTGTACCATTAGGACACATCATTCTTTTTGTTGTTGTTTGACCATCTCATTATATTAATTTTTATATCTATGTTCTGCAAAAAAGATAATTATGTTTCACTATACCTTTGGTTTGATCATAGCCCCAGCCAACAGTTATTACAGAACTTCTTTTTTCTATAAATTATAATGATGCAATGTGCAAATGGTCCAATTGATTTCCATCTTAGTACAGAAACATAAAAAATCACGTTCATTTATCACCTATTAAGGTGTGAATTTATACCTACCAATGCCTCTCATAAACTTTTAATAATATAATTTGGTTTCTTGTATCAGGCTTGTTTCAGGCGCAATGCCACTGTGGTGACCATATATGCATCTTTGGGGGAAGAAGCTTTGTGTCATTCATTGAATGAGGTCCATCTCTTCTCTCTCTCTCTCTCACACACACACACATGCAGCTCCCCTGGGTAACTTATGTTGTTTTTTGTTTACTTAAAATATTGAATGTAATGCTCAGAATTCAGGGTAAGACTCTCAGTTTTCTATGTGCAGTTAATTGTTAAGACGCTCATTGCGGGGATAGCCAAGGGAGTAGATATTGCTACTGGTGCTTGTTAGGGAAAGATATATTTTTCTTGTTAATGTAAATTTAATTTTATTTTGGAAGTCCATTTATATAGAAAAGAAAACCTAGTTCAAAAAATATGGACCTGATTGGGTGCCTTTATAGGGCACATTTGCTGGCTTAATAGTTCAGCAGGAAGCCCTTGATTATTTATCAGCAACCACAATAACATTGCCAAATCAACTTAACACTGAAACCACAATGATAAAATCCATAGATTGTTAAGGTGAATTAGGCAAATTTGAAATCTTAATCCAACTTGAATCATTGTTTCTTTTATAAAGTTACAATGTTCTCTCATACCTATCCCAACTTCATAATTTGTCCACCATCCCAAAGTTGATGCTGCTGCTAAACCACTATTAATAAACTGCTGCTGTCATCATTGCTTGGTTGAAAATTCCTTCCACCGGTGATTGTTACTGTTACTGCCACTAAAGCTGTTACATCTGCTATTGGTCAAAGTCTTCACATTCCTTTTATTTTGGGTTTGTTACTATGCAGCTACTGCTGTCGCTTCTAATAATAGTTATGATGCTGGTGATGTTACGCCACTATTATTGGTCATCACATCATCGTAATTCCATAAGTTTTAGTAGTTAACTTATTCGGAAGAAATAAAGTTACACCACATTTACATTAATCAATAAAAGGTTATTATTAACTTCTAAACTCCTTAGCTACCAAGGAAAGATCCTCCGTTATAGCGCTTTTATGCGATCTAGTTGTTTTTCGCTTTATTATTTTCTACTTTTTGGTTGCATTCCAACCATTTTTAATGTACTTTTTGGTCTTTATTAATACAATAGTTCTGTTTTGTATCCAAAAAAAAAAAAAAAAAAGAGAGTTCACTGAGAATTGATACGTCGGTACTATGGTGGTGAAAGCTATCTTGTGAGGTTTGCTAAGTGTTCTTACAATAGTTCTGTTTTGTATCAAAAAAAAAAAAAAAAGAGAGTTCACTGAGAATTGATACGTCGGTACTATGGTGGTGAAAGCTATCTTGTGAGGTTTGCTAAGTGTTCTTACAATAGTTCTGTTTTGTATCAAAAAAAAAAAAAAAAGAGAGTTCACTGAGAATTGATACGTCGGTACTATGGTGGTGAAAGCTATCTTGTGAGGTTTGCTAAGTGTTCTTACAATAGTTCTGTTTTGTATCAAAAAAAAAAAAAAAAGAGAGTTCACTGAGAATTGATACGTCGGTACTATGGTGGTGAAAGCTATCTTGTGAGGTTTGCTAAGTGTTCTTACAATAGTTCTGTTTTGTATCAAAAAAAAAAAAAAAAGAGAGTTCACTGAGAATTGATACGTCGGTACTATGGTGGTGAAAGCTATCTTGTGAGGTTTGCTAAGTGTTCTTACAATAGTTCTGTTTTGTATCCAAAAAAAAAAAAAAAGAGAGTTCACTGAGAATTGTTACGTCGGTACTATGGTGGTGAAAGCTATCTTGTGAGGTTTACTAAGTGTTCTTTTCCCTATAAATTTGAGTCCTAGTTCAAAATAAAGTTGAATTCTCCTTCGGTTCAAAATTATCCCCCTCTTTCTACTATTGGGTGTCCATAATGCAGACTTCTTAAAATTGATATGCTTGATTTTTTTTCAATCTCCGTATCCATTTTGCATAATTTTTGTATCTCTAAATTCTTGGGGTAATTTTAAATATCTAAACTTTCGTAGTATGACATGAATGATTTGAATGCTCTTCCATAGGTGGAAGTTTCTGAAATTGGGAAAAGAATATATACAAAGAGCCACAAAAGAAAAAACCCATTGTTTATTGTTGGTCCCACTTATACACATTGTTGGGTAGGTTGACTAACTAGAATATGCACTCATCATGGAATTGTACCATGCAACTACCCCGAGTATAGGATAGCCGAGGAAGTGAAACTCCTCATACGCTGATCACTGTGGCTGGACTTGCAAATAAGCCCGGTTGAGCTCAATTTTAGAATGTTCGAGTTTGACTTGGCTAAAATATTTAAAGTTTATAGTTGAGACTTTTTTCTATGGACGCAAGCAATCACCTGCAGACCTTCGAGGAGGGCTGATTTTTGGCATATGGTGCCCAAGCCCTTGCATTGAAATTACCCGTATGTGGGTTTAAGCATAAAGTTGTTTCTCAAAGGTGTTGGGATTCATGTTCATGGACGTTGTGTTGGATAGAAATGGAATTCAAGATGTTAAACCAAAAAAGTTAATGTTTCATGTTGAAGAAGAATGGCATCATTTCCCCATGGGTTTTCAGTGGATCACCTGTATTACGTCAAACTTCACTTCTAAGTTTTTCTTGCTTATTCTTTTCTTTCCCTTATGTTGATCATCAGCTTTAGATATAGAAGTCTTAGATAATACTCAACATGACAGCATGAGCTGCAGAATATTTACAACTGATTTCTTAGAGACAAATGGAACATGCCATGAATGGAGATTGCAGGGTGCATGCTCCTTTGAGTCTTAACATATGGAATTGAGTCTCTTGACTAATTCTGTCCTCCTTTGAGTTTGCTCTCCATCATGCTTTTTACCCTATAGATGTTCTACACATCTTCTCAAGCGAGATTGCAGGATGCCTGCTGTGAAATACTTACTGTGAAATTTGACAATGAGGATGGATCACTGTCCTACGCTGAACAGGAGGTCAGGTGGGCGTGGCAAGATAGGCAAATTTTGATTTAACCCGATGGACTCAAGATACTAACTCCAAATGTAGCAGTGGTTGTCAACATGGATATGAACTTGGATGTTTAGTGATGCCTACGGATTATACAGAGCTGGAGGAGGAAGAAAAGTGGGGCTTGGGAGAACACATGTTCGGAATGGGAGTCTGAGTTCTTGTGCTGAAATACCTTTTAGTGGTTAATTAGAACAATTTTTGGGCGGCAACATCTGTTATATTAATGTTGACTTCCAGGAGGATATTATGAATTTGGTGACAAATGACCGAGAGAGCTGTTTGAGTTTGATAATCATCTTGCTGAATGAAAAGAACATAATTGGTCCTCCCTCCAGTACATTCAATGGCACTTGTTTACTCTTTTTTTTACCAAATCCTTCTTGTATGATGTCTTTTGCTCTTGCTGTTTAATTTGATATTGTTTTTCTTAATTGCATTATTTATAATTGTTATACCATCATTACCCTTTACTTTCTCCGTTTACATTTCAATCTGTTCTTCAGACAGAGGTTACAACTGTGATTTGTGGGAACAAAGAACTAAAGAAACTTGTAGAGATAAGTGGACAACTTGACACAGTGAAACGTGTAATATGTATGGATGATGAGATCCCCTCAAATGCTTCGATAATTGTGAGCAGCAGTGGCTGGACAATCACTACTTTTTCTGATGTAGAGAAACTTGGCCATGAGAATCCTTCTGATGCAGATTTACCAGTTTCAGCTGATATTGCTGTCATAATGTACACAAGTGGGAGTACTGGTTTGCCCAAGGTTAGTGGACAATTTGTCCCTTACTTTAGATACTTTATCATCCTGTTTGGTTGTTCACCTTACTTTACGCAACTGATATGTTCTATATTTGATGTGTGCTTGCATCTCGTTGAATTAGGCTAATTTGCACACGTTGGTATTTCCTTTTTCTGCTCAAATCACAATAGAAAAACTTCCCAAAAATAAGTTATTTTAGTATGATTAATAGAAAGAATAGAGGATGCATATTGTATTTCTTCTTGGGTGAGGTTGAGGGTCAGAAGGTGAAAACTGTGGTTGGACTTGAATCCATTCCTCTGGAGTGGCGTCTAATTAATCTTAACGATTAATATATCTAGAGGAATATGGAAAATACTGATGAACAAAACATTTTCTCTTTTGCTTGTGTCATAAGTGAACTTGTTGTTTCTCTATGAATTGGTGCTCTGGTTGTTCTGTTTATACCTCCATGGGCGAGAGTGGGGGTTGCATGTGTAGGGAGTGTTAGAGTTTGTTCCACTTCCACATTGATAGGATAGCACCTTCCAAACTAGTATATGAGCTTTGAGGGCCTCAATTCATTGGCAATTAGTTTTGAATGGGATTTTTTAACAACACACATACCCATGCCCATAATTATATATATATATGTTTGTATATGAATATAATGTATGTCTTGGTTCCCTTCCTGCACCTACCAGTATTTCCATGAATTTTTGATAATCTTATGACATCTAAAGAGATGTCTAACTACTTTCTCTCTCTCTCTCTCACGCACACCCCCACAGACACAAACACACATATACTCAGCTGCTTTTTAAGCCAGTATTGGTTGAAAACATGATCCATTATTGACCTTGTGCTCTATATATGACTTGAAATTGAAAATTCGTATGTATCATTAACTTGTGCCATTCCATATGATACAGGGTCTTTGTGATAAATGGCTATCACAAGATACCGTTGAGTTTGCCAAATTTTACTAAATAGTGTGCTTTATTATCTTGTCGCATTTCATGTTCGGGGAAGTGGTTTACCAAAACCAGATAAGCTTATGCTAAGTGCACCATTTCAAGCTGATTGCATGCCTGACTTCTCTCTCTCTCTCTCTTATATAGCATGTGGTTGATTTGTGTGGAATATTGAGGTTATAAATTTTTTTTTGCGGTGTGGTATGTTTGTATCAAGACTGTATATATTCTATGGGACTTCAAAGTGTCTATACGACATGCTTTCTGGAGTCATATTTTAACATATTCTCCATGGCATGGTTTATTTGTATTTTATGATTTCAAAAATCTCTAAAAAAGCCTGCTAAAGCCAGTTACCACTTTAGTATTAATCTATGGGCTTAACTCCTGCTCCATACAGGGTGTGATGATGACCCATGGCAATGTTTTAGCCACACTTTCCGCTGTCATGACAATTGTGCCTGGTCTTGGAGGCAAGGATGTTTATTTAGCATACCTACCACTGGCCCATATTCTTGAATTAGCAGCTGAGGTATTGTATATCTTAAAAAATTATGTTGTAACTGTAGCAGCTGAAGTGTGATGGACATTATTTTCTCGTTTGCTTCTTTATCACTTGCTTCTGTAGAGTGTTTTGACAAATTTCTGTTTTGTATATGTAGAATGTTATAGCTGCCGTTGGAAGTTCTATAGGATATGGATCTCCTTTGACTCTTACTGATACCTCAAACAAGATTAAGAGGGGAACAAAAGGGGATGCCTCTATGTTAAGGCCAACATTAATGACTGCAGTCCCAGCAATTCTTGATCGTGTTCGATATGGTGTGCGTAAGAAGGTTTGTGCAACCATATATGCGCAATATGTACATTAATGATTGTTTTTTTATGTCTGAGAAACTTGATTTTTATAGACACGTTTAGCAACAAAAGGAAGTGAAATCTTTTAAATTTCAGGTAGATGGAGCAGGTGGACTATCAAAGAGACTGTTTGATTTGGCATATGCTCGCCGATTATCTGCAATAAATGGAAGTTGGTTCGGGGCTTGGGGCCTAGAAAGGCTTCTGTGGAGTTTTCTAGTGTTTAGGAAGGTACGAGCAGTTTTGGGTGGTCGCATTCGTTTTGTACTGTCTGGAGGGGCTCCTCTTTCTGCTGACACACAAAGATTCATCAACATTTGCCTTGGGTTAGTATGTTTTCTTGACTTTTGTTTGATCGTTATATGCTGAATTAGCAATCCTCAAGTTCATATAGAATAGTTTATAACTTTGAAAGTCATTTGCATCCATAAATTTTAAAGACAATGAACAACAAGCGTTAAGCATGCAAATGGACTTGGTTGAATTCCCTTGTTTTCAATTTCAAATGGATCAGTTTGTGCTCTCTTCTCTTTGATTGAATTCCCATGTTTTCAATTTCAAATGGATCAGCTTTTGCTCTCTTTCTCTTTCATGCCTGCTTTCGCACATGTGCATGCACACGATACAGGCATACACATATGCACATTTTTTAATCAGTCACTGTCAAAAATGGCTTCACTGCAGGAGACAATCAGCTGAAAAAGATTTACATAGTTTATTAAGTCTCTGAAGGGAAAAAAGAATACATATTCGGCTTGTAATTGATCAGTCACCTATAAACTCTCACCACCTCCCCCAAGCCAAAAAGAGAAAACCCCCAAACAAGAAAAAAGAAAATAAGAAGAGAAGAATCCCTGTTTTTCAAAAGTAAATGCCTCTTGTTCCTGGTGCTTAGACATTACATTTATATGGTTGAACAGCAACTTAGTCAAGCAAGATACTTAGAGAGAATTGCTAAAGTTGATATTAGGGTTTATGAGAAAAATGAGGGAGAGAGAGAGATTGAGAAGAATAATCAGTTGTATTGGCTAGATTGCCTACAATCTCTTATTTATAATTGAGCAATATTAGGTGTAATTATCATATTACCCTACAATAATTAAATTATGTCTAATAGAGAAAATAAAAAATCTTAACACTCTCCCTCAAGCTGAAGTATAAAGATAAAAAAATACCCAGTTTAGAATATACACCACTGAAGGCATATCAAGCCAATGGTTTGGTAAGAATATTACACAGCTGATTACCAGACTTGATATATGGAGTGATGATCTCCTTTTGAAGCAAGAGATCTCGAATAAAATGATAATCCACCTTAATGTGTTCTGTACGCTCAAGAAATATCGGATTACTTGCAATAAAAATATCTGATTGGTTATCACAATGTATCTTTATCGGGGAAGACACATCAATCCCATGCCACGAAGTAAATAATGGATCTGTGACATCTCATAAGCAATACGTGCCATTTTACGATACTCGGCTTCTACACTAGAACGTGCAATTACATTTTGTTTCTTACTGTGCCAAGTAACAAGATTACCATCAATAAAAGTACAATAGGTAGAAGTAGATTGTAAATTACTATGACTATCGGTCTAGGCAGTGTAAAAAAAATCAACAACAGTTATGGATAATGATAGACGATATAATAATACTTTCCCCAGAGCTCTTTTCAGATACCCAAGTATATAACATATAGCCTCTTAATGAGGCTTGTGAGGTGCATCCCTGAATTGATTAACCACACCAACAATATAAGTAATGGTAGGTCATGTAAATGTAAGACAAATTAGCTTACTAACCAACCTCTGATAACATCCTATATCATGAAGGCTTCATTACTCACAATATCTAACTTAATTGTAGAGTTCATAAGCGTATTAATCAGACGCGCACCAAGAGTACTAGTCTCAAATAGTAAGTCTTGTACGTACTTTTGCAGGTACAAATTGATACCTTCCTTTGATTGGACAACTTTAATCCCTAGGAAGTACCAAAATAGACCTAAATCTTTGTGATAAAACTTTTTTTCCAAATAGACCTTCAAATGAGCAACACCATATGAGTAATTACCACTGATGATAATGTCATTGACATACACTATAACAATTATAATGCCTATAGAGGATCGATAAATAAAAACTGAATAATCTGAGGTAGAGCGCTGAAAGCCAAACTAAAGTACTACAGTACTGAACTTATCAAACTAAGCACGTACAATGCTTTCAAGCCATACAATGCTTTCTTCAAACGACACACTAATTGGTCGTAGCGAAAAATAACCTAGACTGGAGGTTGAATCATATATATCTCCTCCTATAGATCTCCATGTAAGAAGATATTCTTTATGTCTAGTTTATACAAGGGCTGGTCTGAATTGATTGCAATAGAAATAAAAACTCTTGACATAATTAAGATGTGCAACAGGAGAGAAAGTCTCACAGTAATTCACACCATATGTTTCAGTTTAACCCTTGGCAACCAACCGTGCTTTCAAATTCTTAACAGAACCACCAAGATGATATTTGATATTGTAGACGCAGAGATTACTACCAGGCTGTGTATGATGTCCCAAATATGATTGTCAATGTATTTTTCAATGGAAGACAATACTGATGCAAAATAACAAAAGGATGAGAAAAATAGATGCAAAGAAACAAAATTATAAATGGGATGCTGGGTACAAATACGAGTATCTTTTCTTAATGCAATAGGTAAATCAGTAGATGATGACACAATAGACGCCTTAGGAGGAAGGACCTTCGAATCATACATTGACTGGGGAGCTTGAGAATATGAAATAACCTGTCTATTTGTGGAATGAACTTGATATGGAGTGTTAGATGCCAAAGATGGGGAAGAGACACAATCTGGCATAAGAGACAACATGAGCTCCTCCTGACTAGTAGAGATTAGATTTGGGAAAAGTAGTTCTGGAAGTAGAAAAAAAAATGACTCAAAAAAAAATGACATCGACACTAGTATAATATTGGTGAAAGGCGTGGTCATAACAACGATAATCTTTTTGAGTACGAGAGGATTTCAAAAAGACATTTAATAGAGCGAGGTGAAAGTTTATCTTTACTTGGATCAAGAAGGTGAATAAATGCAACACAACCAAAGACACGAGAATTTAGACTGAAGGGAGATGTATCAGGATTAGGTAAGAAAGACGAAGATTTGTTACTTAAGATTAGGGAAGACACTCGATTATTTAGGTAAATTGTAGTGAGAATAGTGTCTACCAAATATTGTTTGGGGATATACTTGTTAAACACGAGGGTACGAGCAACATCCAATAAATAATGATGTTTGTGTTCTGTAACACCATTTTGTTGGCATGTATGTGGATATGTAGTTTGATGAATGATACCAAGATCAACACAAAAAGTATGCATAAAAGATTGTACATACTCAGGTTTTTATCAGAACGAAATATTTTAATACGTTTATCAAACTATAGTACGTTTATCAAACTACACAAGGTTTTCATTATAGAAGGTAAGAAAAATTTTAGGCAATTCAGAACGATCATTCATAAGAAACGAATAAGTTATACGAGAATAATCAGAAACGAATATTACAAAATAGTGAAATTCAAAAATATTTTTTATTCTTGAAGGACTCCAAATGTCAGAGTGAACAATAGTAAAAGGACTAGACTAACGACTCGTATTACTAATAGGAAAAAGAACTGCGGTGATCCTTGCCTAGTTGGCAAGCTTCACATTCTGACATAACAAAATGACTCAAATTAGGAATAACTTGACGAAGCTTTTGTAGTGGAGGATGACCCAATCAAAAATGCCATTGGAAGGGAGACATGGCAGTACTCAAAGCAGGAACTGTTGCTCTAGAATCCAATAATAAAGTCCGTTCTTCTTATGTCCCAAACCACTCACATTCTTCATCTGGAGGTTTTGAAAAAAAAAGAAGATGGAGAAAAGGTCATTGAACATTGTAAAGATTTGGATAGCTGACTTAATAGGTAACAGGCTAAAAAGAAATTGAGGGACACATAAACTAGATGTTAATGACATGGATTCAATAGGATGGAGATCCCTAGTCCCACGTATTGGTCTAGAAGAACCATTTGCTAACACAATGCGAGAGTTAGAAGAACGAAAGTTAGAAAACAAGCAGAGAATACCAAACTTGTGAACGCTAGCCTGAATCAATAATCCAAGATGGTGAGACTGATTGAGCTGTCGCATGTGGAAAATTACCAGTAGTGGTTAAATTGACAGTTGACTGATACCTTCTCTAACCAAGGATCTTGTCACAGGGCGATTCACTGGCAAATCAAGTTCCAGAATCAGCTTCTTATCTTTTTTACAATTCTTTGAGTGACCTATTGTGAATTATAATCAAACTCATCAAAGGGAGTTTGACACCTTGGACCTCGTTAGAGAGAGCTCCAATGTCTATATTTATGATTAAAATTCGGCTTAGAGTTTTTATTAATTCTAGAGTCCTTTAAATAGGACTAGTCTCCTTACAAATATAGGAAACCTATAAGTTAGGCTCCTTATAACCTAAATCACTGAAAGACCTAATTAGGAGATAAGTCTCCAACTAAGCAACAATAATGTTAAAAACTAAATAACAAAACAAAACCTAAGTCATATAATTCCAGCTACTTATTTGCCACGCCTTCTATAAGAGCAACCCACAAAGGAGTCTATAACATCACCCTCCCCCTGGAGAAAGAGCTTGTCCGCAAGCTCAAAGTCCGGGTAAGCATGCTGGAAATGTTCATGGCTCTCCCAAGTGGCATCAGCAATGTTAGTATCAACCCAATGCACTAGAAGTTCCCAAGTGCCTCTATTAAGACGAGCCTGCAATATCGAGGCCGGGGTGGGAATGACACGGCCATTTTTTATAGGATACAGCTATGGAATGGAGGGTGGAGGTCGTCCTTTGTAAGGCTTAAGAAGGGAAACATGGAAGATGTTGTGAAGCTTTGATTCAACTAGTAGTTGAAGCTTGTATGCTATGGTTCCAATGCGCT